CTCACTGGAGACTGCCTTTTGTAGTCCCATTTCAGTTCAAATACTCTTCCCAGCTGGTGTTCTTTTTCATAAATGTGTGGAAAGTACATACACATCTCTCTAAATGGCTTGGCTAAAATTACCTTAAAAAGATTAAGCTCTATAATTACTAATTGGTCAATCAGCATAAATTTGCCATTATGCTAGTTAACTATATAGTGATAATAACGGTTCCGTGATGTGACACCCTATTGAGTGTCAACTTGATTGGATTGAAGGATGCAAAGTATTGTTCCTACCTGTGTCTGTAAGGGTGTTGCCAAAGAAGATTAACATTTGAGTCACTGGACTGGGAGAGACAGACCAACCCTCAATTTGGGTGGGTATCATCTAATCAGCTGCCAGCGCAACTAGGATAAAAGCAGGCAGAGGAACATGGAAGGACTAGACAGGCTGAATCTTCTGGTCTCCATCTTTCTCCTATGCTGAATGCTTCCTGCCCTTGAACATCAGACTGAGTTCTTCAGCTTTGGGACTCTTGGTCTTACACCCATGCTTTGCCAGGGGCTCTCAGGCCTTTGACCACCGACTGAAGGATGCACTGTTGGTTTCCCTACTTTTGAGGTTTTAGGACTCAGACTGCCTTCCTGGCTCCTCAGCTTGCAGATGGCCTAGTGTGGGACTTCACCTTGTGATCATGTGAGTCAATTCTAATAAACTCCCCTTCATATATATATATATACATATCCTATTAGTTCTGTCCCTTTAGAGAACCCTGACTAATACAGGTTATTTCTGGGGTGGGGGGTGGGGAGGTTAGGGGAGTTGAGTGTGGGGATGGGGGGTAGGGAGTGGAGGGATGGGGCATAGGGAGTGGGGGGCTGGGGGGTAGGGATAACCTTGCAATCTACCAAGGCAGTGGAATCACCTGAGGGCTGTTAAAGCACACATTGCTGGGCCACATCACCTTGGTTTCTAGACTCAGCAGGGGCTGTGAAACTGTATTTCTAACAAGTTCCCATGTGATGTTGCTCGCATTTACTGGCTAAAGAACAGGGATGCTGGTAAATATTCTACAGTATACAGGACAGTTCTCCAGAGTAAAACCTAGCCTATCCTGCCACGAGTGCTACCCATCACTGTACACCACCAGGAGGTCTAGGGACTAGCCTATCAAGCCTGCTGCCACCACTAAAAGCCATACATGCTGCTGAGTGGTGCAAGGATTGGCACACCACTGCTGCTACCACTGTCAACTCCTCACACAACACCTGGGGTATCCAAGGACTCACCCACTTGGTCGGTTACTGGCACAGCCAGCACCCAAGCATACCACCTAGAGGCCCAAGGGAGCCCAAAGACTGGTATTCCTAGAATGCCACTGCTACGACTGATTTCAGAGGACCAGCCCATCTGGCATATCCATCCCCAGCAAAGTCTTGCCACAGCCTCCAATAACAAATGCAGCCTACACCACTCAGAAGTCAGGAAACCAGTCTGAGTAAAGGTGAATAAATCATATGTAGACTACACTACTGCACCCACCCAGAATCAAAGCCAAAGCACCTTTCCCCAGCAACAATATAGATATATCTATAGAAAAAAACTCTTTTCCTAAAAAAGCCAATCAATCCACAACATTAAAAGAAGCAACTGTTAAAACACATACACAAATATCAATATAATAAAAGAAATATTCAGCAAGTCATAGTGGCTCACACCTGTAATCCCAACACTTTGGGAGGCTGAGGTGGGTGGATAACTTAAGGTCGGGAGTTCAAGGCCATCCTGGCCAACATGGGAAACCCCATCTCTACTAAAAATACAAAAATTAGCTGGGTATAGTGACACACACTTGTCATCCCACCTACTCAGGTGGCTGGGGTGAAAGACTCACTTGAGTCCGGGAGGCAGAGGTTGCAGTAAGCTGAGATCACACCACTGCACTCTAGCCTGGGTGACAGAGTGAGACCCTGTCTCAACAACAACAAAAAACAACAACACAAGAAACATGGGTTCTTCTTGTCTTTTTCTAGTTCTTAGTGGAAAGGCTTTCAGCTTTTCCCCAGTCAGTAGGATGTGAGCTGTGGGTTTGTCACATATGGTCTTTACTGTGTTGAGATATGTTCCTTTTACGCACATTTTTTTATTTTTTATTTTTATTTTTTGCAAGAAGAAATGAAAAGACCTGTGGTTTCTATTAGCAACGAAGTCACAGGCACTCCTAATATGGATCCATTGCCTACAGTGTCCCTATAACTGGGGGATATATTACATTTCAGTTAGAGGTTAGTAAAAATAAAGGGTTTTTTCTTCAAGTTCACAGGTCCCTGAAAATTAAAAATCCCTGTACCAGACCAGTGTTTATGCATAATTTTTAAGAGTATTTTTTTATGAAGGAATGTTACATTTTATCAAATGCCTTTTCTATGTCTATTGAGATGATCTTACAGTTTTTGTCCTTCATTCTGTTAATGTGATGTATCACATTTATTGATTTGCACATGTGGAACCATCATTAAATCCCTGGGATAAATCCCACTTGATCATGGTATATAATCTTTTTGATATATTACTGGCTTTCGTTTGCTAGTATTTTGTTGAAGATTTTTGCATCTGTGTTTATCAGGAGTATTTGCTTGTAGTTTTATTTTTTTATTCTGCCATTGTCTGGCTTTGGTAGACCATGGCCCACTTTCACAACTCTCATTCAACTTAGTACCGGGAGTCCTAGCCAGAGCAATCAGGCAAGAGAAAGAAATTTAAGGCAACCACACTGGAAAAGAGGAAGCCAAACTGTCCCTCTTTGCTCATGACATGATCTTATATAAAGAAAAACCTCAAGATGCCACTGTTTGGTTTTTTTTAACTCTTAGATCTGATCAATAAATTCAGTAAAGTTGCAGGATACAAAATCAACTACAAAAATCAGTAGCATTTCTATACACTAATAGTGAACTAGCTGAAAAATAAATCAATAAAGTATTTGCATTTACAATTGCTACAAAAATATTCAATACCTAGGAATAAATTTAACAAAGGTAAAAGACCTCTACAACAAAAATGACAAAACACTGATAAGAGAAATTGAAGAGAACACAAATGGAAAGACATGCTATGCAAATGCATTATAAAACTATTATTAAAATGACTGTATTACTCAAAGCAATCTACAGATTAAATGCAATCCCTATCAAAATATCCATGCTATTCTTCACAGAAATAGAAAAAAAAAAATCCTAAAAGTCATGTAAACCACAAAAGATCCTGGATAGCCAAAACAATACTGAGTAAAATGGACAACGCTGGAGGTATCATACTATCTGACTTCAAAATACATCAGAAAGCTAAAGTAACCAAAATGAGTTACTACTGGTATAAAAACGGACACACAGGCCAATGGAATACAATAGAGAACCCAGAAATAAATCCATGCATTTATAGCCAATTGACTTTTCAACAAAGGCATCAGAAAAACACAGAGGAAAGAATATCTTCAATAAATGGTGTTGGGGCCGGGCGCGGTGGCTCAAGCCTGTAATCCCAGCACTTTGGGAGGCCGAGGCGGGTGGATCACGAGGTCAAGAGATCGAGACCATCCTGGTCAACATGGTGAAACCCCGTCTCTACTAAAAATACAAAAAAACATTAGCTGGGCATGGTGGTGCGTGCCTATAATCCCAGCTACTCAGGAGGCTGAGGCAGGAGAATTGCCTGAACCCAGGAGGCGGAGGTTGCGGTGAGCCGAGATCGCGCCATTGCACTCCAGCCTGGGTAACATGAGTGAAACTCCGTCTCAAAAAATAAATAAATAAATAAATAAATATATAAATGGTGTTGGGAAAACTGAATATCCATATTACAGAAGAATGAAACTAGGCATCTCCCACCATACACAAAAATCTCAAAATGAATTAAAGAGTTAAACCTAAGACCCAAAACATTAAAACTACTAGAAGAAAACATAAGGGAAACACTAGGACATTGGTCTAGGCAAAGATTTTGTGGCTAAGACTTCAAATGCATACAAATAAATGAAAATAGACAAATGGGACCCTATAAAACTAAAAAGGCTTTGACAGCAAAAGTAACAATCAATAAAGAGACAACCTACAGAACGGGAGAAAACATTTGCAAACTATTTATCCAACAAGGGACTAATATCCAAAATATATAAGGAACTCAAACAAATCAAGATTTAAAAAAAAATCCCAATAAGAAGTGGACAAAGGATCTGATTAGACATTTCTCAAAAGAATGGCCAACATGTATATGAAAATAATGCTCAACAGCACTAATCATCGGGAAAATTAAAATCAAACAGTGAGCTATCATCTCACCCCAGTTAGAATGACTATTACCGAAAACACAAAATATAACAGATGTTGGCATGGATACAGAGAAAAGACAACTCATATACACTGTGGACGGGAATGTAAATTAGTACAGCCATTATGGAAAATAGTACAGAGGTTTCCCTAAAAACAGAACTACCACATGATCCAGCAATCCTACTACTGGGTATTAAAAGTACGTCAGTATGTCAAAGGAAAGGATGTCAGCATGTTGAAGGGATATTAGCATCCCCATGTTTACTGCAGCACTATTCATGATAACCAAGATATAGAATCAACCTAAGTGTCAATCAACAAATAAATGAAGAAAATTTGGTATATACACAATGAAATACTATTCAACCATAAAAAAGAATGAAACCCTGTCATTTGCAGCAACATGGAGGAACTGGAGGCATTATTTTAAGTGAAATAAGCTAGGCACAGAAAGACAAATTTTGCATGTTCTCATTCATGTGAGAGCTAAAATGAAGATCTCTTGGAGGCAGAGAGTAGAATGATGGTTATCGGATGCTGAGAAGGGGGAGAAGGGTGGTGAAGAGAGGTTGGTTAATGCATACGTGCAGTTATATTGAAGGAATACATTGTATTATGTGATCACAGACTGGAATGAATATAGTTATCAATAATTTGCATACTCCATAATAGCTACAAGAAAATATTTGAAATGTTCCCAACACAAAGAAGTGATAAATATTTTAGGTGATGGACATCCTAAAATACCTGGGTTGATCATTATACATGGTATGCATATACAGAAATATCACATGTACCTCATAAATATATACAGTTATTATGTATCCAAAAAAAATGGCCTTTCCATCTGGCCCCCAAAAGATGGTATAGAAGCATGAACCATCTTATCTTTCTTTGAGCATTTATATTTTGCTTGACTCTCATGCACACATGTGCATGTAATAAAATTTATATGTATTTTTTCCTGTTTTAAAAATACTATCTACAACAGCATCCCCCCAAAATATTAAATTCTTGGAATATATTTAACAAAAGAAGTGTAAGGCCTATAAGTTGAAAACTACAAACACTGAGGAGAGAAATCAAAGAAGTAACTAAATGAAGAGATATACCATGGTCAATGTTTAGAAGACTCAATATTGTTAAAATGGCAATTCTCCTCATGTTAATCTACATATTCAAAACAAAGCAAATCAAAATTCTAGCAGGCATATTTTTAGATACTGACAAGCTGGTTTTAAAATTTATATAAAAACACAAAAGACCAGAAGAGCTAAAAAAAAATTTGGGGGGAAAAAAGATGTTGGAGTAATTATACCACCTAATCTCAAGTTAGATCATAAAGATACAGAAATCAAGACAGTCTGGTGTTAGCATAAAAAGACATAATGATCAATGGAAAATAATAGGAAGTTCAGAAAGAGACCCACACACATATGGGTCAATTGATTTTCAACAAAATTGCCAAGGCAATTCAATTGAAGGAAAAGATAATCTTGTTAACAACAGTACTGAAAAAATTTGATATTCATATACAAGTGCATATATATTTTTACTTATTTTATCTTTACTGTACACAATATGCAAAACTTAAAATGAGTCAGGAATAGAACTAAATGTAAGAGATAAAACTATGAAATATCTGGAAGAAAACATAGGAGAAAATCTTAGTGACCCTGGGTTAGATTTCTTAAATTGTATGCAAAAATGCATGAAGTTTAAAAGAAAAAAAAAAATGTACAAACTAGTGCTATGATTTGAATGTGCTATGATCTGAATACCCCATGCATGACAAGCAAAACAAAAATGGATTGTCAAGAAAGAAAAAAAGTAAAAAGGACACATAAGATCACATCAAGTAAAATATCTTCAGCACAGAAAAGGAAAGGAAACAACAAAGTGAAGAGACAATCCACAGAATGAGAAAAAATATTTGCAAACTATCCATCTGACAAAGGCTCAATAACCAGAATATAAAAGAAGCTCAAATAAGGAAATCAGAAAAAAATCTAATAATCCAATTTAAAAATAGGCAAAAGACCTATTTCTCAAAACAAGACAGGCAGGCTGGGCATGGTGGCTCACACCCGTAATCCCAGTACTATGAAAGGCTGAGAAAGGTGGATCACTTGAGCTCAGGAATTCCAGACCAACCTGGCAACCTGATGAAACCTGGTCTCTACCAAAAATATAGAAAATTAACCAGGTGTAGTGGCACACACCTATGGTCCCAGCTACTCAGGAGTCTGAGGTGGGAGGATCACTTGAGACTGGGAGGCAGAGGTTGCAGTGAGCTGAATTTGCTCCACTGCACTTCAGCCTGGGTGACAGAGTGAGATTCTGTCTCTAAATAAATAAAAAAAAACCACACACAAATGGCAAACAAGTACATAAAAAGGTGTTAAACATCAATGATCATCAGTGAAATGCAAATCAAACCTACAATGAGATATCATCTCACCCCAGTTAAAGTGACTTTTATCCAAAAGACAAGCAATACGAAATGCTGGCAAAGATGTAGAGAAAAGGGAACCCTCGTACACTGTTGGTAGGAATATAATTATTACAGCCACTATGGAGAACAGTTTGGAGGTTTCTCAAAAGACTAAAAATAGAGCTACCATATGATCCAGCAATCCCACTGCTAGGTATACACCCCCGACAAAAAAAAAAAAAAAAAATCAATAAATCTACACTCCTATGTTTACTGAAGCACCATTTCACAATAGCCAAGATTTAGAAGCAACTTAAGTGTTCAACAGCAGATGAATGAATAACAAAAATGTGCCACATATACACAATGGTGTACTACTCAGCCATAAAAAAGAATGACATCCTGTCATTTGCAACAACATGGATGGAACTGGAGGTCATTGTGCTACATGAAATATGCCAGGGGGGCCGGGCGCGGTGGCTCAAGCCTGTAATCCCAGCACTTTGGGAGGCCGAGGCGGGTGGATCACGAGGTCAAGAGATCGAGACCATCCTGGTCAACATGGTGAAACCCCGTCTCTACTAAAAATACAAAAAAAAAATTAGCTGGGCATGGTGGCGCGTGCCTGTAATCCCAGCTACTCAGGAGGCTGAGGCAGGAGAATTGCCTGAACCCAGGAGGCGGAGGTTGCGGTGAGCCGAGATCGCGCCATTGCACTCCAGCCTGGGTAACAAAAAAAAACCTCTATCTCAAAAAAAAAAAAAAAAAAAAGAAATATGCCAGGGACAGAAAGACAAACCACATGTTCTTATTTATTTGTGGGAGCTAAAAATTAAAACAAGTGAACACACAGAAATAGTGGAACTATGGATAACAGAAGCTACTGGGAAGAGCAGTTGCAGGGGAGTGGGGACGATTAATGAGTATAAAAATATAGATAGAATAAATAAGATCTAGTATGTGATAGCACAAGAGGAGGACTACAGTAAATAATAATTTATTGTACATTTTAAAATAACTAAAAGTATGTAATTAGATTGTTAAACAAATAAAGGATAAATGGTTGAGGTGATAGATACCCCATTTACCCTAATGTAATTAAGCATTGTATGCCTTTATCAAAATATCTCATGTACCCCATAAATATATACATGTATTATGTACCCCAAAATTAAAAATTAAAGTATACAAAATGAGTGGCAAGTGAATAAAAATATATATTCACATTTGCTTATACCTGCATAAACAAACTCTGCTAAAGATCAAACTGGTAATGATGAGTCATTCATACAAAAAAAAAAAAATGAAGTTAAGCCCTTCATGCTAACACAATTATGAATTATAAATGAATTAAATACCTAAATGTGACACTACTTTAAAACTTTCAGGAAAAAAAGAGGAGACTAAATATCTGCATGATAGACTAAATAGACACATACACACATTTTAGAATAATAATCCTAAAAGGAAGGAATGCATACCATCTTTGAGAGTGACTACAACTTGGAGAGAGAGACTGAGACAGTAAAGAGAATTTCAACTTTATCCACTGTACACTATTTTTTAATCTTGATTAATGTAACAAATCATTTACATTTGTTAAATCAAGATGGCAAGTGCATGGGTATGCAATATATTATTCCATCTTCTTTTTTATAAGTTTGAAAATTTAAAGAAAACAATGTCTTTACTTTTTTTCTTTTTTTTTTGGAGACAGGGTCTTGCTCTGTCACCCAGGCTTGAGTGCAATAGTGCAATCACGACTCACTGCAGCCTTGACCTCCAGGGCTCAAGCAATCCTCCTGCCTCAGCCTCCCAAGTAGCTAAGCCACAGGTATGTGCCACCACACCTGGCTAATTTACTACATCTTAAAATTCAAATACCCACTGGACTTGGAAAACAATTTCTATCTATACCTCATTGTTTATACACTGGTTTTCTACAAATGTAGCAAGGTACTGAAACTGGTGTGCTATCTGCCAGCCATGAGTCAAGTGGCTTTCCTAACAGTGAAGGCAGAGAACAACCCAGGCAAAGACTCTGCACTCAAAAGACCAAAGAAGGAAACCCTCAGCTGGGACCACCAGCCACTCCACTGCCAATAAGATTTCTCCCTAACATTGAGTGTGTGGAAATCTAAGGCCATCAGCCTAACACAAAGTAAATATACTTGTTCTACAGAATTTTAAAAATTTAACCATGAAGGAAAAACCTGAACTTTCCGCCAGATTTTGATTAACACTCAATTCTTTGATGCTGTGAAAAACAAACACGAACACTAACTCTGCACATTTCAAAGTTAACCACTTTCAGCCAGACACGGTGGCTCACACCTATAATCCCAATACTTTTCGAGATCAAGGCAGGAGAATTCCTTGAGGCCAGGAGCTGAGATAAATGGAGCCTGGGAAGCAGAAGTTGCAGTGAGCTTTGATCACACCACTGTACTCTAGCCTGGGTGACAGAGCCAGACTCTGTCTCAAAATTAATAAATAAATGTATTAAGCTGTATGAATCAGATCAGCTTGGATACCCATATGTCCTTTTTCACAGGTAACCTTCTAACAGATCTACACAAGCACCAAATAAGAGTTTTGAAGAGCAAAACTAACATAACAATATAATAATAGTAGCTGCCTGTCAACTACAATCCTATGTTGCTTCTTGCCATCCCATTGAGTATATTTTTCATTGTTAAGTTTCCTAGTGTGTGGACATGTTATCATTTTTGTTACCCCTTTTGACTTGACTCCTAGGATTAGAAATCATCTGTTTCAGAGAAATCTGGTGAGAGAAAGACCCTTTCTCAAAATATGTAATAGAAAATGCCAGACACTCATTGCCTAGACTCCTTTACAGATTATAATATTTTCTTTATTTCCATACCTAAAAATTTTTTTTTTTTTTTTTTTTGAGTCTCACTGTGTCACCCAGGCTGAAGTGTAGTGGTGTAAACACAGCTCACTGCAGCCTCCACCTCCAGGGCTCAGCCCCCTGAGTAGCTAAGACTAGGTGCCTACACTACATCCAGCTAGTTTTTGTATTTTTTAGAGACAAGATCTCACTGTACTGCTCAGGCTGGTCTCAAACTTTCAAGCTCAAGTGATCCTCCCTCCTCAGCCTCCAAAAGTGCTGGGATTACAGGGTATGAGCCACCACACCCAGCCTTAACTATTTTCTGACCTTATTGCATGGTCTAGGACTGCCAGTAAATTATTAAATATACGTAATGATAGTAGGCATCCTTGTATTGTTCCTGGCTTTAAAGAAAATACTTTTAATAAATCAATACTGAGTATGATATTTGCTATAGGTTTCTTTAAAGCTTATTTTGAAATAACCAGATACACAAGGAGTTGCAAAAGTAGTACAGAGGTCATATGTACCCTTCACCCAATTCCCACCAATAGTTAAATCTTACATAACTATAGTACAATATCAAAAACAAAAAAATCTGACATGTGCGCATAGTTCTGTACTATTTATCACGTGTGTAGACCCATGTTACTGTCATCACAATCAAGATATAGAATTATTCCATCACCACAAAGATCTCCCTCCTACTACCACTTTATAGTTATATCTACATTCTGCCTCATCATCCTGAACCACTGGAACAATTAATCTGTTCTCCATCTCCATCATTTTGTCATTCACAGAATGTTACACACATAGAATCATACAGAATGTGACCTTATACTCAGGATAATACCAAGTTGTTGAGTGTATCACTCATGTAGTTGGCTATGTTTTTATATCTACTCTGCCAACTGTCTTTAAATTTGTGTTTAGGCTATTTACTCTTAATGTAATTATTAAAATGTTAGGGTTTAAGTCTGCCATTTTATTTTTTATTTTCCATTTCCTTTCTCTGTTCTTCCTGTGGATTACTTAAATATTTTTCAAATTTCTATTTTATCTATCACTAACAGGAGTTAACAGGAATTAGTAAAGGGGAGGAGCCATGGTCTTTCCATGGCATGTGGCTAAAATAGGGTGGTTATTGTCTAAAAGTTTCTGTCTTGGGAGGTTTCCTCTTTCCCCATCTTTTAAAGAAAAGAGCTATTCTTGGCTTTTTGGGGGTGTTATGTTCCCATTGCCATTTCTGACCAAGTTGCCAGTTGATCCAACACCCGTGATATATGAGACAAACAAGCAAGCAAGCAAGCCCACGGAACTCACTCCTATGTCATTCCATGGGTCCTGAAATTCCTACTTGGTCTGCCATCTTCTCTTTACCTTTCAGACTCTTCTTATGTTTGTTTATACACAGCATCCAGGATTTTGAGCTAACCTTAGCAGAAGCAATACAGAACAATCCATCCTGGTCCAGAAAAGAAAGCTCCCTTTTAAGTTAACTATGAATTTGTATCATGAACGCTTACTGAGTTTTATCAAATGCTTCTTCTGCATCTGTTGAGATGATCCTAAGATATTTCCTCTTCAGTCTGTTAATGTACCCAAATACATTAACAGATTTTCAGATGATAAACCTCTCTTTTATTCCTAAAATCAACTTAACTTGATACTGCTATATTATTGGTTTATATAAAGCTAGATACATTTCAACAATGTCTTTAGGACTCTTGGTACTTTATTTAGGCTTAGAAATGGCCTTAGTATTTCTTTCCAAAAATGTTATTGTCTGGTGATAGTAATATTAAATTACTGTCATCATAAAATAAGTTAGGGAAAGTTCCCTCTATTTCTATAAAACTCAGGCTCAGAGATACAAGGAATCAGAAGATACTAACAGGCAACTGCTGGCTTTAGCACCTGCTCATCTGTTTTCTTATTGTTGATGGCCTTCCAAGAATTCAACTCTGTAGGAAAAAATTATTTCATTTTGTCTCTGTCAATAGCGTATTAAGGTGTACTAGAATGAGAATAGTTTCCTCAGAAAACTAGTTCATCATATTCCAGTAAATAAAAACTCTACCCTTGAAATTATTACATCTGACTTTAATCCATATCTCTAAACTCTTCCCAGAAAAAAAAAAAAAAACCTTATACTACTTTAACTACATCTCTACTTTCTACTTTACATCCTACTGTTGTTAGGAACTTTATTTCCTTCTCGTTTGTAAAACTGTAATATATTAGACATAATTAAAACTATAGTTTTATAAAGTATATTTATTTTTGGTTTGCTTTTGAGAGTCTCACTCTGTCACCTAGGCTGGATTACAGTGGTGACAGCATAGCTGACTGCCTCCTTGACTTCCTGGGTTCAAATGATCCTCCCCACTCAGATTCCCCAGTAGCTGGGATTACAGGCATGTGCCACCACACCTAGCTAATTTTTTGTTTTTGTAGAAACAGGTTCTCACCTTGTTGCCCAGGATGATCTCAAACTTGACCTCAAGCGATCCTCCCATCCCAGCCTTCCAAATTGTTGGGATTACAGGTGTAAGCCACCACTAAAGTATATTTATTTACATTTACTTATGTTTACCAATTCTTTTACTCGATAGTTTTTCTTTATCTCAATTCTTCCATCTTATTTCAATTTCCCTCTTCCAGAAGCAACTGTGAGAGACTTCAATTTGTCACTTATTCAACAAACACTTACTAAATGCATACCATGTGCCAAGGATTGTTCAAGGTAATAGAGATATAGCAGTGGAGAAACAAAAATCCCTTTCATCATTGAGCTTACATTCTCACATTTTTGTCTGAAATGTCTATTTTACTTTCAATTTTGAATAATTTAGCTGTTAAAAAATTCTAAATAGTAATTTCTCTCAGGATCTCTATTATTACTGTTACAGTCTTAAATCAATCTGTCATTCCTTTGTGGACAATCTGTCTTTTCTTCTGATTAACTTTATGAAGTCCAGCCATTTCTCATTAAATATTGCCTCTCGTCTCTTCTCCTTTTTCTCCCCCTAGAGAATGTCTATTAACTATGTTGGACTTTAACTTTCCCCTTGAGTTTTTAACTTTAATAAAATTTTTTCTATTAGTATTGTTTCTTTTTGGTTCTTTTTCAAATATACCTTGTTTTTTTTTTTTGTTGTTGTTGTTTTGGTTTTTTTGGGGTTTTTTTGTTTTTTTGAGATGGAGTCTAGTTCTGTTGCCTAGGCTGGAGTACAGTGGTGCAATCTCCACTCACTGCAACCTCTGCCTCCTGGGTTCAAGTGATTCTCCTGCCTCAGCCTCCTGAGTAGCTGGGATTATAGGCATGCACCACCATATCCAGCTAATTTTTGTATTTTTAGTAGAAAAAGGTTTTATTGTATTGGTCAGGCTGGTCATGAACTCCTGACCTCAGGTGATCCACCTGTCTCCGCCTCCCAAAGTGCTGGGATTATAGGCGTGAACCACCTTGCCCCACCTGATCTTTTTTCTAAATATGTATCCCTTACTTTTTCGATTCCTTTTTAAATGTCTATAATCATTTCATACTCATTTTCATTTATATGCAGTCTGCTATCACCAGTTAATGAAGGTCTGATTATGTTCTGCAACATGTATCATGACACTCTGGTTGATTTTTTTTTTAGGTTTTATAATTTTGCATTATGAACTCATGTAAAGTGGAGCTCTATCCACAGAAATTTGTGTAATCTGATGTGAGAATGTGGCCCAAGTTGTTTTCTAGCTTTGGACTTTTTTGGGTAGCTTACTGGCTTAGAGATTGCTGAAACATATAAATTAAACAAATTTAAATCTCAGACTTTCATGAGCACAAGGGTATGGGTATGAACACTCAAGTCACACATTTTTTCCTCCATCCACCCAGAACTCAGGCTAAGATGAATAAACTTGCTTTTCATCTTCTCGAGACTATTTTCTAGGCCAGGCTTTAAATGAGCATATGACCCTTTGAGAATCCTAGCTTTAGGAAAATAGGGATCTTATTTCCAGTTCCCTGACTCCATCGCCTCATCTCTTGTCCCCAGGAAGCCATTAGAATCTATGTCTTTATGGTAAGAATGCCTTTGTTGCCTTATGTATTAAGTCAGGCTGCCTTAGTAAGACACCATAGATTGAATGGCTTAAACAACAAAAATTTATTGCTCACAGTTCTGGAGACTGTAAAGTCCAAGATCAAGATGCCACTTGATTTTGTTCCCAATAAGGGCTCATACTTCCTGGCTTGCAGATGGCTGTCCTCTCACTGTGTCCTGATACCAGGTGCAGGGCAGACAGGGAAAGGAGTACAAACTTCCTGGTGCTGTTCTTATAAGGTTGCTAACCCCTTCATGAAGGCCCTACCCTCATGACCTCATTTAAGCCCAATTACTTCCAAAAGGCCTCATCTATAAATACTATCTCATTGGGAGCTGGGGCTTCATTCAACATAGGGATTTGGTAGAGGGTGTCACAATTCAGTTTACCTTATCACTTATAAAGAGAAGTGAATTTATATATAGCACTTAGAGAACTGCCCTGGAACACAGTAAGTACTCAATATATAGTGTGTTATTTCCATTTAAGTTAAACTATACAGCCACCATTAAAAGTGGGTCCTATTGTTTCCCCATTTTGCAGGTGAAAAACCTGGAATTTAAAGAGGCCTTGCCCCAGGTCCAACAGCTCAAGGTTTGGAACTCAAATCTAGGTGTGCAATGGCATAAGTTAGCAGAGGTATTTCTTAGGGGGTGTAAGGCTATTCCACTAGAAGTAACAGATAATTAACAACTGCTCCTCCACCATCTCCCATGTTCTTAAAGCATTAGTTCTACTTTCTAGTCTGGTTTTTATTATTTTTTTATTTTAATAATTTAATTTCTTTCTGCCTATGTTTCAGAGGATACTCTGGTTTTTAAATTCTTTTCCATTTTAGCCCAAGGGAGAGTCTCCTTACTTTCTTGGGAGCTAAATTATATCCTTAATGGGATATTTATTTTATTTAGTCAGCATTTCTAAGCTTTTGCAGTATAAGGGTTTGAGGTCGCATAGTTTATAATATTTTGCCTCTTATGCTTTCATATCTCATGTGGCTTTATTCTTAAATATTTTTATTGTATTTTTTTGAGACAGAGTCTCACTCTGTCACTCAGGCTGTAGCGCAGTGGCGCAGTCTCAGCTCACTGCAACCTCTACCTCCTGGGTTCATGCGATACTTGAGCCTCAGTCTCCTGAGTAACCAGGACTACAGGCACATGCCACCATACTCGATTAATTTTTGTATTTTTAGTGAAGATAGGTTTTCACCATGTTGGCCAGGCGGGTCTCGAACTCCTGGCCTCAAGTGATCCACCAGCCTCAGTCTCCCCAAAGTGCTGGGATTACAGGTGTAAGCCACTGCACCTGGCCTATTCTTAGGTATTTTATACTTCTGTGGTATTGTAGATGGGATATTTTTTCTCTTACCTTTTCTGACAACTTATTACTAATGCATAGGAAAGTTATTCTTATAGATTGTTCTGATTACCTTAGTGTCTAACTTCACGCAAAAGTCAAGTAGTCTTCTAACTCAGCTCAGGTTTCTTAGCACATGTTAGCTTAGATATTTTTATCCAAAGTATATGGATAAGTTTGCAACTCAGAATAGCTATACTCAAAGCTCTTAATTTATTTCCATTATAGAAAGTACATTACTGGCTGGGTACAGTGGCTGATGCCTGTAATCTCCACACTTTGAGAGGCTGAGGCAGAAGGATCACTTGAGCCCAGGAGTTCAAGGCCAGCCTGGGAAACATGGTGCAGCTTCAACCTCCCAGACTCAAGCCATCCTCCCACCTCAGCCTCCAGAATAGCTGAGACTACATACATGCACCACCACATCTGGCAAAAATTTAATAAAATAAACTTTTTATTGCAATCTTTAATAATACTGCTATATGATGAGTTTTATGACAAGCTGTAATGATGAGGGACAGAGAAACAGACATTCTCATACACTGTAGGTAAGCATATAATTTGGAACAGTCACTAGGAAGGGCAATTTCACAGAATATATCAAAGTCTTAAAAAGCACAGACCTGTCTCCCAGTACTACTTCTCATATTGCTATACTTGCACATTTACAAAAATAAAGATGCTCATTGTAACCTATTTGGCAATAGTAAAATGTTAGAATCAGCCTAAGTGTTCAATAGACAATGAGTAGACAAGCTAAAATATACCTATGTAACAAAATACTATGGAATAAAAATCAGGCAGATTTACAGGTACCCACATGGAATAATCTCCAAAATACATTAATGTAAAAACACAAATGGTTCAGACTTAAGACCTGACACACACACATACATGATAAAAAGTTGTACATAGAATGCTACCACTTACATTTTCAAAAGTGAAGACATGTACACATATGCTTAAAGATAAAAAAATATCTAGAAGAATATACAAAAAACCTTGTTTCAGTACATGCCTCTATCAAGGACAACTGAGAGACAGGAGAAAATTTACTTTTCACCGTATATCCTTTATTCTTACTTAAAATTATCATGTGAATATATTATGTGCTTAAAACATACATAGGATACTTACTTAAAATATTTCAGCTTAAAATGACTTTTATATTTGCCACATAAAATTGCCAAAAACAATTTTAAAACTTCTGCCAAGCACAGTATTGCACTCCCGTAGTCCCAGCTACTTGGGAGGCTGATGCAGGAGGACTGATTGAGCCTAGGAGTTCAAGTATGGCCTAAGCAACATAGAGAGACTCCATCTCTTTAAAACAAACAAACAATCAAAACACTTCTATAGGGCATAGCAAGATTTCTGCAACAATGATCACTAACAAGAATCCATCAAAGATAAGTTTATAGGCCAGATGCAGTGGCTCACACCTGTAATCCCAGCACATTGGGAGGCTCATATGGGCAGATCACTTGAGGTCAGGAGTTCAGACCAGCCTGGCCAACATGGTAAAACCCCATCTCTACCAAAAATACAAAAAGTATTTGGTCATGGTGGCACATGCCTGTAATCCCAGCTACTTAGGAGGCTGAGGCACGAGAATCGCTTGAACCCAAGAGGAGGAGGTTGCAGTGAACCGAGATCATGCCACTGCACTCCAGCCTCAGCCTGGGCAACAGAGCGAGACTCTGTCTAAAAAAACAAACAAATAAGCTTATAAAACAGGGAATGCTTTACAATAATTTCAAATGTCAGCCCCACGAGCAGGAATAAGTCAAACAGTATATTAGTGCCAGTAAATAAAACTTTCTGTGACAATGAAAGAATTCTGTATTTGCACTGTCAATTGTAGTAGCCACCAACTTTATGTGACTAATGAGTATGTGAAATGCTACTAGTGTAACTGAGAAAATGAATTTTTAATTTCATTTAATTTTAACAAATTCATATGTAAATACCCACATGTAGCTACTGAAACTATACTTAACAGGAAGCTATATACAAATTGAGTCAAGGCAATGGCAAGCAGGTATGCATGGACAGAAATCAATCACTCGAAATATGGAATAAGGTCAATTTTAAAGTTTTGTTAGGAACTATTTGGTCTTGAAATGCATAAAGTAACCTAAATGCTTTCTAGAGGGGGGGAAAAAAACAACTCTTTTTTTTTTTTTTTTTTTTTTTTTTAGCAACTGGGTCTTACTTTGTTGCCCAGGCTCGTCTTGAACTCCCGGGCTCAAGGGATCCACCCACCTTGGCTTCCCAAAGTGGTGAGATTACAGGCATGAACCACCATGACTGGCCAAGCAAACTATTCTTACTGCTGTGTGCTTAAAGGAAGGGTAAGGAACCTAAGGAAAGTATTAATCCACTCGAAGGGAAAGATAACTCTAAAAATAAGTTTTTTTTTACTGCTATCTCAAATGTCAGTCTGGGAATAATTAAATAAGTAACAAAATTTGTCATGTAAAATGGAAATAGAATGAAGAATGATGTAGAGAAGAGAAGGGGGTAGAAACGGGAATGAAAAACGGCAGCAGTATATAGAACTATATAGTTGCCAAGTTTTTTTTAAGATTCCTCATTTGGCTGGGCATGTGGCTCATGCCTAAAATCCCAGCACTCTGGGAGGCCGAGGCAGGTGGATCACTTGAGGTCAGGAGTTCAAGACCAGCCTGGCCAACGTGGCAAAATCCATCTCTACCAAAAATACAAAATTTAGCCAGATATGGTAGGTGCACCTGTAACCCCAGCTACTTATGAGGCTGAGGCAGGAGAATTGCTTGAATCTGGGAGGTGGAGGTTGCAGTGAGCCAAAATCATGACACTGCACTTCAGCCTGGGTGACAGAGCAAGACTGTATCTAAAAAAAAAAACTCCTCATTTTGAAGCAATCAATTCCTAACTAAAGTGGAAGGAAGGCTGGGCACAGTAGCTCATGCCTGTAATCCCAGCACTTTGGGAGGCCAAGGTGGGCAGATCACTTGAGGTCAGGAGATCAAGACCAGCCTGGCCAACATGGTGAAACCCTGTCTCTACTAAAAATACAAAAATTAGCCAGGTATGGTGGTGCATGCCTGTAATTCCAGCTACTCAGGAAGCTGAGGCAGGAGAAACACTTGCACCCGGGAGGCAGAGACTGCAGTGAGCCGAGACTGAGCCACTGCACTCCAGCCTGGGTGACACGGCAAGACCCTGTCTCAATTAAATAAACAACCAAACAAAGTGGAAAGGAAAACAAAATGTCAGGGAGACACATTGTTAAGTGAGAAAGTTATAGATAATTTTCATCATTTTGTGAAATAGGGCACTTTTATTAATTGCAAGGTGGATAAACAGTGAAAAACAGATTTTGTAAGAGAATTACAAGTAGTAAAGTTAGTAAATTGGAAAGCCAATGAAGAAACAAAATATTCCTTGAAACTATCAGAGTGATATGGTTTGGATCTTGTCCCCACCCAAATCTCATGTCAAATTGCAATCCCCAGTGTTGGAGGTGGGACCTGGTGGGAAGTGACTGGATCATGGGGGTGGAGTTCTCATGAAAACTTTAGCCTTTAGCACCATCCCCTTGGTGCTGTTCTGGTGCCAACAAGTGAATGAGGAGTTGTGAAATCTGTTTTTTTAAAAAGTGTGTAGCACCTCCCCACTCTCCCCGCTTCGCCATCCATCATGATTGTAAGTTTCCAGAGGGTTCCCCAGAAGCAGAAGTGCCACCATCCTTCCTGCACAGCCTGCAGAACTGTGAGCCAATTAAACCTCTTTTCTTTACAAATTAGCCAGTCTAAGGTATTTCTTTATAGCAGTACAAGAACAGACTAATACACAAAGTAATAGTCGAAAGAGTATGAAAGGGCAGATCTATTTCAGATTGTGCCCCTTCCCTAGTAACATTTTATTATATAAATTCCAAGGAGTCACTGGATGTTCCAGGAAGAGTATTATTTCATCTCAAAATTAGATGGAAGCCTTAATAAAATGGAAAGCAAACTACAGCCTGAAAACAATTGGTCTAGAGTTTTGCCTTGAACCGGATCTACAGAAATAAGGAACAAGCAGCAGGGATGGCAGGTAGACTTGCAGGTGGTATCATTCCAGAAAGAGGAATTTTCAAGTTGGTAAAGTAACACCCTCTTTTATCCACAGACTTTAAAAGGACAGTTATCTACTGGCTGATAGAGATAACCAAGACGTATTTTAAATAAAAATACATAATACATTTTGTATAATTCCATTTTGTAAAAGCAAACCAAGAACTTCACATCACATAAAAATTAACTTAAAATTGATCAAAGATCTAACAATAATAGCTGCGACTATAAAAACTCTTGCAATGATTTCTTAGCTATAATGCCCAAAGCACAAGCAACAAAAGAAAAAATATGTAGATAAATTAGACTTCATCAAAATTAAAACTTTTACACTAAAGGCTATTAAGACAGTAAAAAGATAACCACAAATGGGAGACAATGTTTGCAAATAATATATCTGATAAGAGTTCTGTGTCTAGCATATATAAAGAACTCATACAATTCAATAATAAAAAGACAAATAATCCAATTTTTAAATGGGCAAAGGATCTAAATAAATATTTCCCCACAGAAGATATACAAATGGCCAATGAGGCCAGGCATGGTGGTTTACACCTGTAATCCCAGCACATTGGGTGGTTTAAGTGGGTGGATCACTTGAGCCCAGGAGTTCGAGACCATCCTCGAATTCCTGGGTAACACAGGGAGACCCCCCCATCTCTAAAAAGAAAAATGAATTTCTTCTCTGCAGAGTTCATAGAAAAAAATATGTATTTTTTAAATTAGCCAATCATGGTGGTACACACCTGTAGTCCCAGCTACTCAGGAAACTGGTGCAAGAGGATTGCTTGAGCCTGGGAGTTCAAGGTTGCAATGAGCTATGATCCCCCCACTGCATTCCAGCCTGAGTTACAGAGTGAGACTTCATGTCAAAAAACAAAAATAAGGCCAGACATGGTGGCTACGCCTGTAATCCCAACACTTTGGGAGGCCAAGGCAGGTAGAGCACAAGTTCAGGAGTTCAAGACCAGCCTGGCAAACATGGTAAAAGTACTGATATACACTACAACTTGGATGAACCTAAAAAATATTATGTTAAGTGAAAGAAGGCAGCTACGAAGGCTACATATTGTATTATTCCATTCATATGAAATGTCCAGAATGGGTAATTCCATAAAGAGAGAAAGTAGATTACTGGTTTCCTAGGGCTGGGGGGGATGAAGAAAATGGAAATGATTGCTAATGGATAAGAGGTTTCTTTTTTACAGTGACAATAATGTTCAAATTTTATTGTGGTGATAGTTACACAATTCTGTGAATACATTAAAAGCCACTGGATTAGGCCAGGTGTGGTGGTTCACACTTGTAATCCCAGCACTTTGGGATGCCAAGGCAGGTGGATCACCTGAGGTCAGGAGTTCAAGACCAGCCTGGCCAACATGGTGAAACCCTGCCTCTTTAAAAAACAACAACAAAAAAACCAATGGATTTATACTTTAAAGCGATGAATTGCATGGTATGTATACTACACCTCAATAAAGCTGTTTTTTTTTAAAGTAAACCAAAAGAGGGTGTGTGTGTGTGTGTGTGTGTTGTGTGTGTTAGTCCATTCTTGTACTGCCATAAAGAAATATCTGAAACTTGGTGAATTTTTTTAATTTTTTCTTTTCTTTTTTTTTTTTTTTTTTTTTTTTTTTGCTAAACCAGGTTTATTTAAAAAAAAAAAAAAAAAGAGGTTTAATTGGCTCAGAGTTCCACATGCTGTACAGAAGTATGGCTGGGGAAGCCTCAGGAAACTTACAATCAAGGTAGAAGGTGAAGGGAGAGATAGCACTTTACATGGCCAGAGCAGGAGAAAGAGAGTGGGCAGGGAGGTGCTACATACTTTTAAATAACCAGATCTCATGAGAACTATCACAAGAATAGCACTGAATGGATGATGCTAGCCCATTCATGAGAACTCCACCCCCATTTCCAATCACCTTCCACTAGGCCGCATCTTCGACACTGGGGATTACAATTCAACATGAGATTTGTGGGAGGCACAGAGGCAAACCATATCATTCTGCTCCTGGCCTCTCCAAATTTCACGTCCTTCTCACATTGCAAAATACAATCATGCCTTCCCAACAGTCCCCCAAAGTCTGAACATATTCCAGCAGTAATTCAAAGGTCCAAAATCCAAAGTATCATCTGAAACGATGCAAGTCCCTTCCAGCTATGAGACTGTAAAATGAAACATGTTAGTTACTTTCAAGATACGATAGGGGTACAGGCATTGGGTAAATACTCTCCTTGAAAAGGGAGAAACTGGCAAAAGAAAGGGGTGATGGGCCTCATGCAAGTCCAAAACCCAGCAGTCAGTCATTAAATCTTAA